AGGACTCCACCTGACCGCGCCAGCGGGTGAAGTGGGGTGCGTCGCTGCCACAGCGACGTGGGCGTTAGCTCTCGGAGTAGATGGGCTTCGGGCCTGAGTGTGTGGTGCTAGTGTGGGAGGCTGGGGCGGGGACTCGATGGGCCTCTTCCTCTCCTCTTGGCTAGTGGCGCTCCTCTGCGTGGCGGGGGCAGATGCCCTTGGCTCTGTCTCCGGCCTGTTCCCTGTCTCCTCCTGTGGTGTCGTGGGTGTTTTTGTTTCTTTTTGAGAGCTAGCGGTAGGACTCGCCGACCAGGGAGAGCGGGCTCGACCTCCCGGGGGTGGAAGTGGGTGTGACCCAATGCCACCGTTCTCGCCCAGGGGGTCGGGAGCGGGGTCGCCGGAGGCGAAGTCAGCGGGATCAGGCAGAGAGGACGAAACGGTGGCGGGGCCGCGGCCAAAGAAGGCTGAGGAGGCGTGCGGCGTGCTGACGGTGAGCAACAAGATCGCTCCCGCGGCGCCAAAGCGGCGTGCGCGCGGCGGCAAGGCCAGCCGCGCGCGCCGGCTCGAGAACTTCTGGCAGCACAAGGCTGCAGCACCTGCGGCTGCTCCTGCGATCAAGTGGGAGCAGCTCGCCCACCGGCCGGGCCTCTTGCGTCAGCAACGCGCGACTCTGCGCGACGGCGCGCGAGCGGCCTGGGTGCGCATGCGCGCCGCGGCCCGCGCGAAGATCGGCGCGGCGGTGCGTGGAGGTAGGTCTCTGCTCGCGCGTCACCTCGAGCCCCTTCCCACTGCTTGATCCAACCCTTGGCCCTCTGATGTCCAGTGCAGCACATGTACTCTAGAAAGAAAGAAAACAGACAACCCAAGGGAGGGATGGGAGGACGACGACATTTACTCTTGGTGTGTGTGCTGTAGGCCTTCTCTAAATATATCGAAGAAAAAAAAACAAGGAAGGCACTAAAAAAATGGGTCGCAACGATGGTGGACGACGCCACGCTGTCGATCTCCCGCGTGCTGCGCACGCTCCACAAGGAGCGGCGGGCCGACCGCATTGCCCACCTCCGCTCCATCGACCACGACGCCAATTTCGTCGCCGGCGCCCACGCGGCGCTCGGCAAGCCTGCGCTGCTCGCCAACCTGCGCTGCGGCGTGTGGTACGTCGATCAAGCGTTGTCGGCAGGCAATTGCTACTTCAAGTCCACCGACGGGCACGCTGGCGGCTG